GGGAAATACCACTGAACAACTTCTAGAATCCCAACAAAAACCAAATTTGCTCAATACTTTGGTGGACAAAAGTAAGCAAGAGTGAAGTGCCACTAGGGTAAAAACCATTTGCATTTTTATTTACCTTTTTCTTTTTTGAGACAGGGTCTTACTACATAGTTCAGGTGGCTTTTAGCTCACTGTGTAGCCCAGGCTGACATCGAACTCATGAGCAGTTCTCTTACCTCAGCCTCCCAAGAGCTGGAATTGCAGGCTGAACCACCATACTAGACTCTATTCACATTTAAATCTCACCTACACAACAACCACAGGAAGCCATGAAGATCTCTAGGGATCATCCAGGTCAAAGTATGCTTTGTGAATCCAGGGTTCACAATTCAATGAAGATTTTCCACAAAACAATGGTGTGCACTTTTTTTTCTCCTTTGAGCTGGTAAGTGCCCAAGAGTGGAACTAAGGTCTCCACTGCTGCTTACTTCACAACACCTAATAGTGTTCTTGCATTTACAAGGAACATATTCTACGTATGCTGAAATAATGAACTACTGTGTTCCCACCACTGCTTAGTGTTTTTACTTTTCCAAAACTGAGCTTTCATCAGTCTATATATACATTTATTTCAAAGGGAGAAAACACACACACACACACACACACACACACACACAGCAGAAAAGTGACATGAGATAGCTGAGCTAGTTCCCTGAATAGCTTCATCCAAAATGTTCCTAGGTAGCTATATTTCTTATCCAGATCCAGTCATTTAGCTTCATTTGATTGAACTGATTGCAGGTCTTTCTCATAAAAGTTTTAGAAGTTGGTTAAGTTGGTGACACACCAGAAGATATGACCTGATGGGCACTTAAAAATGTTCTTTTCTCTTTCAATCAATTCTTTGAAAAAAATTCTTTACTAATTTCTGAATTTTCCACAGAGATCCAATGTTTATTTATTATTTTACATAACTATTCTTAGGCGAGGTCACATATAAGATATGATTATGATCAACAATAATGTTGATGGAAAGTCTGTAAGAAATAAGAATCAGGACTAGGGAAATGCAAAAAGCAGAGATAAGAGAGAAAGTCATCAAAAAGGGTGTTAAGATGTCCCCTTTGATGCTCCCCCACCCCCCCCCCCGCCCAAAGTTTGCTGAATTTACTCATTTGACCCATACTTAGTAGAATTTTATGAGGCATCTCTTCAGCGACCAGAAATCCTCTTTATTGAATAACCACAATCCTGAAATTTTTTGATCCCCCTACCCCCAGCTCTAGCACAATTGCCAGTGGTAGAAAGCCAGCTGTATCCATGTGATATAATTATTTTCTTTCTATGATCCATCCTGCAGGTTGTGTATGTGCGCACAAGCAAAACATGCACACATACCCACCTGCATGCTGTGTTGGCACTGGACCTCACTGATCCTTCACACCCTGCTCATTTTCGCTTCTGAGATAGTACATCAGAGGCATATTGAGATTTCTTAGGGTGTATTAAAACATAGACCTACAGGAAAGAAATTAACCTAAAAAACATTCAAATGATCAAATGTCATGAAAGGTAATTTGAGAGGAAAAAAAACCCGGCTGGTTTTGATGGCAGTTTAAAATATCTTTTATTACAATAAATAATAGGCTAGTTAAAAATGCTCATTTTACTTATATCCTGTTAATGAGTTCTCTATGCCATTCTCAAATCCTCATCCTTATCCTATTAAGCTTTTTCAATAATAATGACAATAACAATAACAACAATTGTAGATAACAAAGAGCAAAGATCAGCGGAAAGTTTTCTTCCCCCAAAGAGGAATTTTTGAATGGCTGCATTCTGTGCCTTGAATGCATTATGGTTAATTTCAGATTCCGAGGATGATTAACTCTGACTGGTGGAATAAAAGGCCATGACCAATTATTATTCAGAAAAATCCTGCTGTTTAGCCAAAGAGCGTACAGTGCAATCCAGTCCTTGATGTTCCTGTGATAAACGCTCACATGACAAGGTTATTTGGTGTAGAGCAGCCAGAGTGGTTGCTATGGCAACCTGTTCACAATGCTCATAAATCTGAAGTGTAGTTATCCTTGCTGTGTATGCAAAAAAAGGCGGGGGGGGGGGGAGAAAAAAGAAACCTACAAAGCCAACTCAAGCAGTTTAATTTACAGCACTACCTCAAAAAAAAAAAAAAAAAAAAAAAGAAAGAAAAAAAGAAAAAGAAAAAATAGGCGAATGAATTCTAAGATAATAGTCTACTCCATGTTATATGCTTCACAATACACGCACTTAGGACTCAAATGCTCTCTTCAAAGCTAAAAAGACTTTTTAGATAATCATTATGGTAGAGAATATAGGTCATCATTAGCACTAGGAGTGACAAAAATAAAAGAGGTGGTTAGAAATCTGAGTTTGCTGGAATCAATTGTTTTCCCTTGGCACAGTTAGCAATGCAAACAGCTGTTGACAGCACATCAGGACAGGTACATTCGATGGGAACAAATGGCTTTTTTAGTTGCTGCTTCCTAGAAATGATGGGCTATAAGTCTAAGGGGCTAAAGGTCAAGCAGACAATGATGAAATATCCCCCACAGACCCAGTATCAGGTGGTTCAATGCTAAGATCGCTCTGATATGGTCTCTTTGCCTCGATTTCAGCTCCACTCAAGCCCCATTAGAAATAAGGGCAGCCTATTAAACCAGCAGGTAGTAAGGCTTTTCTCATCTTGGGTATAAGCTCTCTGGCCACCTGGCTCTTTGACCCCCTATGGCTTATTTCAACCATTATCAGTTTTCTAAATAAAAATTGGGAAAGAGTTGAACTCTTTGAAGAGGCAATTCTTTAACACTTGGAAATGTGAGAGCCATTGGCTCTGTAGTTACCTAGAATGACAGAAAAGTCTAACGTGATGATAATCTAGTTCAAATTAAGACTAATATTTAACTTATGACACCTAATAGTAGAGATGGCTCAATTAGAGGTCTCTGATGGGCAAATTCAGTACGTGATCAGATACCACAATACATACATGTACTGGGACACTCCAAAGAATGCAAGAAGCAGTACATTTGTTTGTGCAACACTGGGCATGCTCTGTTGTCTAAAATTGAAGAGAATGATGAAAGAAACACATCCCTTACTCCTGGACCTCAATTCTGCTTCAAAGCATTAGTTTCTGCATTAATCTGTAATAAAAAGTAACCACTACACGAGAACTTTTCTAAAGGTAAGGATGGGATCTTTGATGGCAAATCTATGGCACACGTGCTGGAGCAGGCCAATTCACCCCAGTGTGCCAGCCAATTAGCCTCAGAATCGTCCCAAACAGCTGAGCATTCAGATTTAATTGCAGTGTTGGCACTTGATGATTAATAAGTGATTTTGGAGTGGCAGTTTGGGCACTTGGTCCCCAAAAGATTTGCCATCACTGCACCAGATTAGGAAGCATCCTGAGGAAGACATATTTGATAGCTACCTACTTGGTTCACTTCAGGGCCAGGAAGGAAGTATTCATGCCTTTATTTGATTATGGGAGTACTGATTTTCTCTAACAGGACCCCTCTCAAGTCTCTCTCTCACAGAAGACCTACACAGGGTTGTATTCTCTTCTTTCTTACTACACTGCTAGAATATTCATGTCATGTTTACTTGTATGATCCCACACAATCATCATAAATCATTCAAGAAATAGGCATTATCATTATTTTGTTTATAGATGAGAAAACTGTGGCATAAAGTGAAGTTAAATGTTTTGTATAACCTTATAATTTGTAACGATTTTCTTAAGCAAAAAGAAGAAAAAGTACCATACTGGAATCGTAGGACTTGAGTCTGAGTCCAATTAAAGAGAAAGAGAAAGGAAAGGAAGTTGAAGATTGCCAGGGTGGTAGTGTTCCAACATGCTAGTTTCACCATGGGCATGCTTTTGACAGAACCGGTCTTATTAGCCTTTTTACCATATTTCAATGGAACTATCTAAGCAATTCTATACCTCTATAAGCTCAGCCAATAGACCACTGGCAGAAAAAGTTTCTTTTTTAGTGGGTGGAAATGGTAGAATTTCTTATTACAAAATTGTTTTTGAAACATCCTATTACTCTTTTTTTTGTAGATAAATTTAGATGACATAAGCCACTGTGCATAATTATCTTTTTCTGCATAAGCATTCTCTTTCTCCCAGAATCTTAATCTCCTTTAGGATGAGCACAATCCTATTTATCTTTATGTTCTTCCTATGACTGGCAAAGGCATTGCTGGAAAACAGCAACAAAACAAACAAACAAATATGCAAACTCCTAAATAACTGACATCCTGAGGATGGTTTTTGGTTTTGAAAAATCAGATTCAATGAAAAAAATGCTGATGTTGAGACAGATTTCTACCTATCTTGGAAAACTGAAAGATCTAGTGACACCGGTCACAAAATCTGAGTAGTCTCTAATCCCTCCAAATGGAGTTTGTCTCTGTTCCACCTGCTCAGTTCCACTAACTTATATCACATGGCACCACCTGCTCACTTGACATTGGGAACCCTCCACCAAATAGGAGAAGGTCAAGGCCTTCTGACTCAGAAGTCTGACAGCATTCTTCCACCATCTCAAGCCTGGCCCTCTTGATCCACTCATCTATAGTAACACCTGCTCATGGTCATGCATGCTCATACCTTCCATCCTGCCTGGATGTGTTTCATCTTATTCTGTACACTCAGAGAGATCAGGTCTTTGTGGAAAGTAAATTTAAGTGAATTGATGAGAAGCACATAATTCTTCCAGATATAGAAGTAACAGACTGACAAAAGCAGGCATATGAGCCTCATGTTCATGTGATATTGTTCACATTCAGCTGAGAACATGGGTCCCACTGATGGACCCAAAGGTGACATTTAGGAGTAGAAAACAGGAGACTTAAAGTATTCTGTTTTAGGTCTAGTTATGTTTTAGTTACCTTTTTTGTTGCTGAGACAAAATACCTGACATTCAAAGTTAAAGGAGGGAAAATTTATTGTAGCTTACAGATTGTAGAGGTTTCAGTTCATAAGGCAGGGTGGTACGACCAAGGAACACTGCGGAAGGGAAACAGTTCATGGTTAGCAGAGGGCGACAAAGCAGCAGGAATCAAGCAGTGAATAGCAAGTTACAATGGCTGCCCTCTTTCTGTTCCTTGTATTCTATGCAGGCTATACAGCTTTAGGGCAGATAGCACGCACATCCAGGGTGGATTTTCCCAAACCCAAAACTATGCCAAGTCAATCAGTGGACTAATTTAGTAATCACATAACCTTGATCCCAGCATCATAGACTTTAGCTCTAGTCACTTCTGAAATGCCTCCCCCCCCATGACCACATGAGGCTTTGGGGTGCTTTATATGCAAGCCATGACAGTTTACTGCTAATTTCTTCATTAGTAGTTCAAAGAATTAAGAAATAAAAAGCATAGAATATAAGGAATGAATAGACCTATTGCTTGTACATTGATACACAGGGATAAAATGTTTTTCCATATGGAAAAAGACCCATAATTAATGTAATCTTGAAAAATCTCTTAGCAAGGTTGCTACCCAAGGGAAAAGACTTTGTCCTTACTCCACATTCTGCATTCAGTTGTGTACTATCTTATACCGGGAAAGGTTGAAAGTGGGGGGAAATGGAACAGTGATCACCTCCACCAACAAAGTGGCTGGCACCAGTTCTCAGGGTACACAGTTCTGTGGGGGAGGCAGACACTCTTCAATACGTGTGAGATGGGAGGAGAAAGGAGTCCATCGGAGTAATCTAGACTGATCTTGGTTGGTAATGTATGACTTATGAAGAGAGCGTATCTTCTGGAAAAGCTTCCTATTAAAGCTGGCTTTTGAGGACCCTGATTTCATCATCTCTGTGTGATCGAAACTACCGGTTCTAATACTTTTATTTATAGTGAGTGTTGTGGACTCCTGCACCAGGGCTTCCTACCCAGACAATGTACTAACTGTTTCTCATCTCTTAGCTCGAGCATCTTGTCTTTTTATTGGACTCCACAGACATTCGCTGTGCACTCCAGGCTGAGTTGTTTTCACTGCTTTTCCTGTATTTCTCTATCAGGCCATCACATACTGTGGTAATTGCAAAGTGAGGATTTGTCATTTATATTGTCTGTGCACCAGAATCTGGAACCTACTGTGACCTAGGTGAAGATTGCTGCAGAGTAGATGATGATGTATGAGGGATACAGCTGACATGCTTTGCAGTGTGGGTGGTTTGGGGAACTGAATCCATGTGCTATGGAGAAATGTACTTAATTGACGTTCATGAAATTCACAACGACACCCCATTCCTTCACTGTGCTTCTGTTGTGTAATTTCCTTAATTAAGGTTTTTAATACAGTGAAGTTTTGTTTCTAAGGCTTAGTCTTTTGTATCCTAAGACTGAACTGACTAGTTTTCATTTGTCTTAATAAAAGCCAAGGCACTCATTTAAATTAGCAACTTCTGGTGAGATTAACAAGCTAAGTAGAAAAGCACTGGATAAATTTGCTAATTATGCTCCTCTGTAGTCAGTGTCTAGTACTTAATTATACACACCCATATATTCAGCCCTCATTATTTGCGGTAGTTATTTTTTAATAATGTTGCTGAAAACACTGAATTAGGGAATACTCAACCATTGATTGTGGGGGAAATACAAGGTGAAGTTACTGGGAGCCTCTGGTTACAACATTTTTGTCAACTAATTAATAATCTTATTTTATGGGCATTTATGTTTAAAGATACCTCAATGAATACATAGCTTGCACTTTAACACTGAACTCATTGCCAATAGAATTGTAACTCAGGTCCGAATCAAGCTTGTCTAACACCTAAAATTTTCTCTCTCTGTGAGATACGTCACAGTGTTCTTAAGTTTAGGAATACCAGGCAGTACTTTTTCATTGCACTTAGAGCCATTTTTATTAGCAAAATCACCAATGAACAGCACAAAAATATATAATAAGTGGCACAAAACTGACTATAAAAGACACTTGCTTGTAATATATAAAGCAAAGCGTGAAGACAGAGTGTTGCTTTATTTGATCTGAATTGGAAATGCACAGATCAGGTGACTCAAAATTCTTACCTCTTTGCACACATCTGTGAATCAGTGTAAAAACACTAAAGCATTGAAGTGGGGGGTTTATAAAGAAATTTTAGTGAGTAAGGCTTGCACATAAATATAAGATCCATGAGCAACATGGATTAAATGTACATAGAATATATAGATTTAATTACATGAGCATATTTCTGTGCAGTATTTCATAGTAATTGCCCATATTATTTCATAAAAGCCATATTATTTAATACAGTAAAAAGTAAAGCTTTTTGAATGAGAGAGAATTCCTGTATATCATATAGTGTAATATAGTATTGCCCATTTAATAATGAAATAGTACGAACACAATTTAATCTTTTGATTACATGCCTCATAGATCCATTAAAGATCATCTGAATGACCTGTTCATGAAAGTTTATGAAGTTCACTTAGAATTAAATAAGTTCTAAAATGCCGATCACATAGGAAATATTACAAAGAATCAACAACTGGGGTCTCATCCTATTAAAAAGCTTTTGTACAGCAAAAGAAACCACAACAGAGTGAATAGACAACCCACAGAGTGGGAAACATTTTTTGCCAGCTATTCCTCTGTCAAAGGACTGCTATCTAGAATATATAAGATTTTAAAAGTATCAGACCTTGAAATTTAAAAACCTAATCCAAAAATGGGTATCTGAATAGACACTTGTCAGATAAAGAAAATAGCAAATAAATATATGAAAAAATCACCAGACATTCAAAAGATGTAAATTAAAACAATTCTGAGATTCTGTTTCATTCCAGAAAAAAATAGCTATTATCAAGAAATCGACCAATAACAAATGCTAGTGGGGCTTTGAGGAAAGGGAAAAGGAATCCTTATCCATTGTTGGTGGTAGTGTGGATTGTTGCAACCACTATATATCATGTGGAGACTCCTCAAAAAACGAAAACTGTGAATACCTTCTCAAAAGAATTAAAAGTATCATACCAGAGTGATATGTGCATGTGCATGTTTACAGTAGCATGATTTGTAATAGTTACATCTTGGAAAGAGCCCAACAGATAAATGGATGAAGAAGATGCTTTTTTAAAAATATGGTAGAGTACTACTTTGCTGTAAAGAAGCTAATTATGAGACATTTCTGCTAAATGGATACATCTTGAGACCTTACTCTTTTTTTTTTTTTTTTTTTTTTGGTCTTTTTCCTTTTCATCGGTACCAGGGATCGAACTCACGACTGCCTGCTTGCAAAGCAGGCGCTTATGCCACTGAGCTAAATCCCCAGCCCCGAGACCTTACTCTTAAATAAATTGGACATGTACATTTAAATATTGCATTGTTTTTCTTCTGTGAGAAACTGAAAGGGTTTACCCTTATTTATAAGGACCAAAATGTATAATAGCTATTAGGAGAGAGGAAGCAAATGTTCAAATAGGAAGGAAAAGAAGGAGAAAACAGGAAAGGAAAGAAGGGAAAAGGAAAAAAGAATGGGAAAAATGAAAACAATGTTCTTGTAAATAAGAGGAGAAGATGGATTGAAGGGAGGGAAGGGGACTGAGGAAAAAAGGAGAATCGAGGTATAATATGTACAGGAACAAATTCTCTATGATAAATAAGATCATTACATGGATCTAAAGTATGCCAGTAAAATTAATTTTAAAATGTTAAATGAATTCTCCAGAACGTATAGTTCATGCTGATTACGGGAAAAAAGAACAAATAAGTCTTTACTTCATCCTTTTGCTGTTTTCATTTTTAGCTTACAGAGAATCCTGAAAATGCTCTTTTGTAAATGGGATGCATGGCAGGAAGGAAATTCCCTTCTTGAAACTCAGTGATTTGGGTCCTAGTAGGGTTTAGTAAAGTTTGGTTGAGTGAAGATATATGATATCAAAAACCTTGGTAATGAAATTCACCATATATTTAGGAAAACAAATTCCAGGGTAAACACTAAGGTAGGGGGAGGAGAATGGAAGGGAAGTGGAGAGGCGGTGGAGCAGGTATAGATATACACGAACAAGACTTTAGAATCAACAGTTCCAAGCCCGGGTGATGGCAACAGAAATATGCACAATGATGCCTACATTTATCACACTTTTGTATCTCATGTAAAGTATCCCATTTAACTCTGATAGAAGCTCTTTGCATGCCTGCATTTTAAAAATGAGGGACTGGAGAGTCAGGTATGTCAGTTGACCTCTAGAGCTTAATTTTTTGTTTGCTCTTTTTAACTTTTTATTAGTACCAGGGATTGAACTCACGACCGCCTGCTTGCAAGGTAGGTGCTTATGCCATTGAGCTAAATCCCCAGCCCCTCCTAGAGCTTAATTTTTAGCAGAAGGGTAGAAGGTGAGACTTGTGAATACGAGTCCAGAGCTCTTCTGTTACTTCTTGGCAGATTATCATGGGATGGAGTTCTATGTCAAACATTGGATGAGCAGAAACCAACTGCTCTATGACTAACCTAGATAACTGGGCCATTTACACAGTCAACTTGGCTAAATTCAACAAGTCAAAGCGCAGTTTAAATAAAAGAACTCTTTGGGACAATGTCATATACCCCTTTACTTTTCAGATAGGGAAATCCAGGTGAGAGAGGCAGTAATTTACCTAGAGACACACAGCAGTTAACACTAGAGTGTGGTCTTGAACTTATGCCTTCAAATTCTGGGTCTTCTTCTAGCTAGCCATGTGCTATTCCTACTCCAGTCACCCCCCCCCCACCCCCACACCCACTTGCACAGCTTCATGATTTTGAATTTTCATGGTAGAGTTTCAAACACATGGTGTGAAGAAATCCTCTCTGTGGTCCACAGATAAAAATTGCAGACTCCTCTGCTGTATTAATTAATGGCCTCATTAATCCACATTTAACTGTTCAATTAAATGTTTAATGTAATGCTTAGAGGTGCCATCAATTACCCTGCGAGAAGCAACTCTTGGAGATCCCAGACTGGAAGCTGCTATGTGCACGTGCAAAACTGCTGTCATTTGGACATACTGTTTTATCA